CCCACCCTTCACTTCCTGGCTACCTCTTCTGCTTATGTACCTTCCCTCCCTGGCTACCTCAGAACCACCCCTCCCTAACTAATATCCCCAAGCCACCTCCCGCGGCCTGAGGCCCCCGGCCCGACCCTTCGCGCTGCATCGCGAGCTACATAGCCGTCCGTTTGACGTCGACGGATGAAACCGTAAACCTCTGGTCCGGGTCCCGCGGCGGGCGCCACCCTCACCCCCGCTGCGGTCGTCGCGCCGCCGCCGCCCTCGCCGTTGCGCCACGTGCGCTTGCCAGACACCAGAGAGGCCTGTGGCGACGATGCAACCCGATCTTTTTGATGGAGTAGAGCGTCGCGGAGGGGGTTGTCGCCTGAGGGGCGGTCGCGCCACGCTGCCCTCGCCGCCGCGGCACGCACTCTCGAAGAGATCACGCGGCTCAGGGCCCCGGATAACCCAGGGGCCAACTCCCTCCCCCCTCCGCGCCCCCCCTTTCCCCTGCCTCTCCCCCTACCTCTCCCTCTACCTCTCCCCCTACCTCTCCCCCCACGTTTCCCCCTACGTCTCCCCCTCCTCCACCCCCATAATCGGCCGATAGGCACGCTGCTATGACCCTTCTGTCTGCGGGCGGGACAGGGGCTGCGCGCGGTATGCGGGCACAAGGGTGGTGGGAGAGAGACGGCAACAGCCCCCGCACGGCCCGCTTGTGTTTGCCGGAAATGGTCGGCTGTAAGAGGAGCGGTATGGCTGCTTGGACCCCGGAGGACCACCCCCGGGTGGGGATGATTTAGGGCGGTCATCAGGACCCCACCTCACCTCAAGGTCGGGCCGACCGAGGAGGGCCGACCAGGCCCGGTCCATTGGAGCCACCCTGATCCGGGACGGCCGTCTATTGGCCTCGGCCCTCGGCCCCGGCCGTGCCTACGTCATCTCGATCAGTAAGCTGCTGTTGCGGCCGCTCGCTTCGCTCTTGTCGTCCCGGACCGGCTTAACGCCTATATATAAAGTACGCACTGACCTCGTTGACGAAGATGTAGAGGCGGACGATGTAGGACGGCAGGTTGAGGGCGATGAAGACGGTCGACACGATGAGCAGCATCTCGGTGACCTTGGACTGGGTGCCGCCGGGGCGGGTGCTGCCGCGGTGCTGCAGCGTGCGCCGCGGGGCCCGCCGGCCGCGGAGGCTGCGGGCAGAAAGGGGAGAGCGGAGGTGAGGGAGGGCGCGCGCCAGGCCGTGCGTCAGGCTCGGGGGCGGGCTCCGCAGTGCGGCTATGGCACCCGCCGCCGCGGGCAATTCGCACTCACTCTCCCGCCTCGGTGTTATACAGCGGCGATGGGCGCTTCGCGTGCCGCGGCCGCGTCAGCCAGCGTCAGTGCGCGTCAGCCGGGTATTTGTCGAGACGCCCCGTGGCCGACGCTATGATGGGCACGCGAGACCAAACCATAAATACACGTGTATCCAAGGCAGGGATCAGATAAGGGAACATGACAAAGAAAACGTTTTTCGTTTTAATTAAAATTATTCGCGTTTATTTTGTTTCTGTTAATTCCCTATTTTTGTGGTTATTTTGATCCCGGGCCATGATTAATAATTCTCATCCCTCCCCACCTTCATTGCCCTTCTCATAAAATGCAAAAACAAAAACATAAATGCCAAGAAAAAACGACACGGTCTGTCTGAAAAAATAAGTCTGCTGTACATATGTGAACGGTCCAACGGTCCATATGATGTCGGTGTCGGTGTCGAATGACGTCCCCGCGCCTCATGTTTCATGCATGCCGTCCGCGGCGTCCCCTGATAGGATAGCGGCTTATGGCCTCTACCCTGATCAACAGCACATGATGAGCCGGACCAGCCCGGCCCGGACCAGCCACACCACCGCCAATGCCCTCCAATCCTCCCAATATCCTATAGCAAAGCAAACATGTATAGTATACACACAACACTTTCGTCTCCCTTATTGTGTGCGATGCAAATCCAGTGATTGCCATGGACCAGCCGCGCATTGTTCCGCTGCGCCGCATAGGCTCGCGAGCTAATGACGGCATTTATCACCGCCAGCCGAGCCGCCAGCGCATCCGCCCTCTTTTATTCTAGCGAGCGCGCTGGCATGAAGGAGTGCGCGGCAGTTTCATTTCAAACCCTTCCCGCGCTTTTGTCGTCGTTGTGTATGGCGCGGTGGGCGCGCGCGCGCGTGTGCATACGGGGGCAATAAAGCTCATGCACGACGACAAAACAGCGGGGCGGTTCGGGGCGGGGGTTGGCCGCGCTGAGAGGCAGGCGCGCGGGGGGGAGCAGTGTCGCCGCCGCCGCGGGGCCTCGTGACTGCCCCGCTCGCCTGCTCGCCTCGGTTAGCCTGCTCGCCGTTGCGCTGCTGTTATCAGCCGGGAGCACGTCTTGCAGCAGCCCAGCAGCCCCTCCCCGCGGCGCGCCGCTAGTACGCTACACCACGCCCACGAGGACTTCCCCCGCTGCTCATCCCTCACTGCGGGCGTCCCCGCGGCGGCCACCCCCGCCCGCGCCCACGCGGTCACCCCCTGCTCCCGTCAGCGGCCCGCCCACCACAACGCTGCTGCACGCGACTGCTTATACCCCCCTTTTTTCCGTTTTCACTGCTTCCCAACGATGCCACGCGATGCCGCACGCCCACTCCAGCCAGCGCGCGCGGACCCTCGTCGTCGTTGCCAACAACAACTTGCATTAAGGTGGGAAATACCCATTGAACCTTAGAATTTAACCTGTTTTTACTTATCTTCAAAAAAAATTAATATTGACTAAATTTTGCCCAAGTAAGGTTTCCCTTCACTAGTTCAACTATCTGACAATTTATAAAACATTCGAGAGACCCATAGAATCATTGGAAATTGTTTGGATTTGAAGGGTTCTGGCTCCTGGGACATTTTTACTTTAACATCTTGCGCGCAACTTTTCTCCGGAACTATTTGAGTTAAAAACCTGGGTGAGGTC